CCCCGCCCACCTCCCCTCTCTCTCTTTCTCCGCTACCCCTCTCCAATTCCCCACCCTCTCTTCCCCTCCCCACCCTGCGAGTACTGTCCTAAAATACTGGTACCAACCTATCAATATCAGTGAGGAAACATTGGAAGAGCAAATAATTACAACATACATCATACAGTCAAACATTCATATATTTTATTTTGACCTCACACACATTTGAACAAGCACTTTCACATTACTGTTATTGCAGCATGCTCCCTGTAAGCTTCCACGACATACATCACAACACAATATTTCCAGTTTCGTTGACTAAATAAAAATGTTCACAGGATGGTAATTCAAAACAAACCAGTTGGCAAATAAATAAGAAAACATGCCCCCCCCCCCCCCATCCCTGATACACATTCTTCCACATAAAGGAAACACAAAGCACACGTATCTGATCTCTGTAAAAAACAAGCTAGGAGAAATAGTCAATTTCCTAAATCGTATACAATAACTGACCCGACACTATGGAAAAATCAGCAAGTGAATACTCTGCAAAGTTAAAACGTTGATTAACTTTATGTTAAAATTTTCTTCCACATTGATTGATGGGACTTTTAGAACCTCTGCTTTTTTTTAATCTTTAAAGACAAGTGGAAGATCATAAGAAAAACACACTAGAAGATATAGGCAACAAATTGGACTCATATTATTTGTCTTTTATCCCCGTCACTGTTAGGCCTAGCAAAAACAAGGTCCATTTTTGGAGATATCCAATAGTACTAGTATAAGAATTTAGAGTATGGCAGTAGAGGAATTGCTCTGCAAGCAGGTTCTGAGTAATGATAAAGTCTGAATAGATTACAAAATAGTTCCTATTTGAATCTGAAAAAAATAATATGATTGTCATTCATCTTTACATCTTGTCAACTTTGTCTTCCCATTTAAATCTATCTTGACGACCTCATCGTCCAATCAAAAGAGGTTGGTCTGAAGCATGATACGAATGAACTCTGATTGGTCAACATGGCCGTCTCCGTTCACGTCTGCTTCCTCCATCATCTCTTCCAGTTCTTTCTGAGTGAACTTGATCCCGGCGTTATTGCAAGCTCTGCGAAGTTTCTCCAGCGAAATGTGGCCTGTACTGTCTGAAAGGGAGATTGAAATGTTGGGTTTTTTTTTTTAGTTTGTAAAAAATCAGTTTCAAAATACAGTTGCGCCTGCTCTTGTTGTTCAAGAGAATCATCCATACAAACGACCACTTCCCACCCACTTTGACCCTCGCATTTTTTTCGGCATTTCAATGACACTGTCCAGGACGACTGCTTGTCTAAGACTTAAACTTTTGTCCTTGACAGTGAGTGTATGTCGAGGGTAGGTTTGACTGTACTTGAACCCACAAAAGACGTTTCCCATTAAAAATACAGGATGGTCCGTCAGCTCTGGGAGACTGTTCCCATGAAAAATGTGGTATCGTCATTATCGCCAATAGCATTTATATAAAAGCAGCTAAAAGCACACGATCTGGCTTAGATATATGCGTAGCCATTTGTTTCTTTCCACACAAAAGTTCCTGGAAATCGGTCAGTAACTTTTTGATCTAGAGCATTTTTTAGTTAGGTGACTGCTAAGACTACTTGGGTTGCAAATTGCAGCGATTGACTATAGGACGTCTCTTATTTTCTTATTCGTAAATTTGTTGAACATTGAATTTTATTCCTTTAAAAAAAAATCATGACAAATAGTCTGGCTGAGATAGACACTTGTACTTTGGTATATTTATTGTTTCTATGTTGTTCTTGCTTGTGTCAAAAGGGCATTGCAGTTGGTTGAATGGTTCAGGTTTTATATCATTTTGAAAAAATAAAACCTCAACAAAATCCTTCAGTCTGCAGTGAGTTAATATATCTGCAGGTGTTTCTATGCTCTGGATCAGCCATCCACTGCTGCGCCGTCAGTTTTAAACCAGATGATCTGCACAAGAGATTGGAGGTTTGGGTCCAAATGAAATGTTAATTTTTAAAAATTCTTCCTGAAATATTTCTTTTGGTCTAGATCTAGTGCTTTGTGAGGTTACCAGCTATTACATGTTTGAAACATTTCTTCTTCGTTTGTTTATAGCAATAAACATAAATATTAACCGAACAAGATAACAATATAACCACATGCAGAGGTGAATAAACTATTCCATGCAAGTAGAGGAGAGCTATGAGTCTAATTCAAAAAAACGAAATAGATGTACATACACACATCATCAGAAAACATTTGTGTCATTTCAAGGGCAATATTTTCTGCTTGTTTTTCATAAGAAATAAAACAAAAAGAAATTAAAACCTCCTAGAACTGCCTTGAATTTATTTTTTGTTGAAAGGTTAACTATAAAACTGACCATTATTTACTTAGACTTACACAATCATCTTCTTCTTTGGATGTTTATGTGTCCATGGAGTGAAGTAATTTTGTGGTGAGAGAACTGTCACTCCGTTGTTTTTTTTTGGTAAGTGTTTTATGGTGCTCGCAACTGCATAAGGTAATATGATTGCGCGGGACTGTCACTCTGAGGGAAAGTTTTGTCAAGTTGTTGATAACCAAATGTGAAGCAACGTGGTGAAATCAGGCGCTCGTCAAAGTAATGAAATTGAAGACACTGGCATTTTTCTGCCAGTTTGGTAATTTTTATCAAATTTTTCTTTTTTGGCTTAACACCATTGTTGCCCAATTAAGAACACATTTCAGGTGGATTTTACAGAAAAGCGTTGATTAAACACACAAAAATGTAGGTTTTCAGTTTCCATGGACTATCAAGTTATGGAAATAACCAAACTTTGGTGGCCATTTTCTCAGTAATTCTACCTTTGACACCAGGCGACCCCACCCTCTTCAATCTCAAATATCTTGACTTCTATTCAAGATACATGGGCATTTTTTTCACCAGTAGCAAGACAATTGAACTAGTTTTTAAATGATACCAATAACTCCACACGCCCAAAGATTGACAAGCGCCTGATTCCACCACGTCGTGACACAAATGATCTTTACAATGGAAACCAAATGAAAATCAGACATAAAATTATGAAAAAACAAACATGGAAAGAAAGGGGCGATTGAACTCAATATCGTAACTTATAATAAACTTACCATAATCGAACATTTCAAAACCTTTGAGGATTTCATCATAGATATCTCTGGTATCCCCTTGCCTGTCTATGATTATTTCCAGAAATTCGTTGAAGTCAATTTCGCTGCAATGCATAAGAAAAGATGAAGAATATGTGAACATCATCATTTGGATGAACTGGCTTTATCTAAAGAAGGCAAATCCTATACATCATGCAACATGATAATATGTATACCATTGGGCTGAATTTGCTAGGCTATTTATTGACAGACAGACAGACAGACAGACAGACAGACAGACAGACAGACAGACAGACAGACAGAGACAAGCTTGTAGCCAATTTGATGAGCAAAAGTGGGTTCAGTTGATGTGACCAACAAAGATAAAATTGCAAATTGTAAAACATAGAGATCCAACCACTACATAAAACTGCTGGTCCACAGGCCATAAGCCTTGACATAGCCTTCATAAATGTTTCAGAATATACACTCTGATGACGACCTAAGATATTGTCCTCCTGAACTATCTCATGAAGTAAAATATGGTCCTCAGACAGAAAGGTTGTGTATCTCTGCTATAAAACACACAAAAAAAGGTAACCAGACAGCACTTTTACGGTCTTTACTCTCTATGGGTCAAATATACTTGCTTACGTTTTCCCTTTCAAATTGACATCATGAATCATCTGAGCAGCTTCATCCTTTGACACTTTGAAACCAAGTGTTCGTAGACATTTCCGCAAATCAATGGAACCTATTAAACTGAAAAAAATACCACACAAGTCCAAAGTCAAGGTAAAGCAGAGTACAGTATTAATACAGTGCAAGATTGTCAAGGGAAAATTATGAAATAAGACATCAGCACAACACTTGTATACATATGCTTCGTGGTGCATGCTTTCCTTGAAAGTAATGATTTCTATCGAACTTGCACAGTGTGCGACTGTTACCAAGATGACATTATAAGATAGCAAACATCTTTATTTCCAAATATTATGAACAAGATAATGAATAACTTCTTTTTCTTTTGAGATGAATAATATCAATAATTTTAAATAGAAATATTTTTTTGAACAACATACAATTTGTAGACATCAAATTTTGTTTCCTCACCCATCAGAATTGGTGTCGAATATATCGAAAACGCCTCTAAGATCTCGGACTTCTTGTGGAGTGAGTTGATCCAAAACTCTTGTGGTGACTTTGATTCCGTGTACTTCCTTCTCATCGACGGGATGGGACTTCAGAAGGTCAACAAGCTGCAGAAAAAAATAAATTTCCTATGAATATTTTAACGATAGCCTAGGTATACCTTATAATTATGTCACTGCAAACCATCGGAAGTTAAATCAGAGACATGCATGCTTTATAACATGAGTCTTAAAAGTAATACCATGTTGACAAAATTAGTTACTTCTCACAATCCAAGAACGGAAACATCGGGCGAAAATGGACACTGGTGACAGATTTATAGATTTTCAATTGGTGGCATTTTGTTTAAGTGTACTGTGTCTTTTACTTTTATTATTCCATACTTAGACCTACAAATTGTACAAACTCCACATATAAAGTTGATGTATCAATTGCCAAAAGCTAGGCTAAAATCCGAGATCAACTAACTCATTTTGTCAGCACACTTCACAATATTTGAAATGTAATCCAATCAAAAGTCCTCTATGCATGTTGAAACTAAGATTGACTATTCATCATTCATTGTCAATGTGCCTCTTGGGACCCAGACAGCTAAGTGATTATAACTTGTTTTATTGGTTTCACAACTAAACAAAAAAACTAAAGTTAAAACAACCACAAACTAAACTATTTGAAAGAGCCTCCATAACGTTTTATGCAATGTTATTTATTTCTTTATTTTAGATCAAAGTCTGCTGGCTGGTAATCCCAGAAAAAATTTAGGAACAAAGATGGGCTATGCTCATTAACCCATCAACCAGATCAAACTGAGGCTATTGGCTTCGGATCCTTACTAGATCTAGAATCTATACCTTTTGAGATCACTTAAAAAGCAGCATGTTATCGTTGACCAACCGCTTAACAGTTCCAAGGTGAAAAACAAATGTTTCAGGAGAGAGAAACAAAAAGTTTCCTGTTTATTAACAGTTGTTCCTACATTACAAATCTTTTCCCACTTAAAAAAAAAATATTTGAATTTCAACCAAATGTTTCTTGAGATCATGCAACCGATACAATAGAGAACTAAAACAGTAACAATTTTTTTCCTCTAAATGTTGTGCTTAGTACAGGCCTCGATCTAGAAAATCTAGATCTAGAATCTAGATCTAGATCTAGAGAATCTAGAATGTAGATTTAGATCTTCCATCTAGATTTCTACATCTGAGCAGCACGCCTAAGTTATGTGAAATGATCACAACAATAACACCCCCCTTTTTTACCCCTAAAAAATAAAATAATAAACAACAAACCAACAAAAACGAGCGTGTAAAATGTCTGTTTATCTTCATCATCTTGCCTTTTCTCCTGGGCGAAGTAAAGGAGGTCTGTTGTCAACACGAGTGTCATTAGAACTCTGTGAAGTAGGTCTGGATTTTGTAGCCTTCTTTCCTCCTTTCTTTCCTTTTTTCTTCCCGCCACTGCCCTTTTTCCCCTTCTTCTTTACAGGCATACTGTATTTCTTTTCTCTCAAGGATTAGATGTTACAGGCCGTCGCCATCTTTAAACAATAACGTTGCTTCGTGACAACATCCGGTAAACCAAAATAATAAACTCACAAATTACACTAGCGACTCAAATAATAAATCCTTCTTTGAAGAAAGGGAACTAGATTTATAACGCAAATAGGTTTTAGATCGAGTCAAATTCAAAATACCATATAATATCATAATAAGTGAAAAGAGACCGTGAAAATAGAATGAGAATATTTGATTCCGGATTTTAATGTGACAACACAACTCTGCAAAGCTAAACAAGGGGGCACACAATCCTACTATAATTTTATTGGCAATGTTTTTTGTACGGTTACGTCCCTTATATCAAAGAGGTGCTAGTTTCTCTCAAAAGGCCCATCTTTGTAACAACCGCCGTTGAATTAAATAAAAAAAATAACCTCTGTGTAATTCTAGAGTCTACCTGTTCTCGACCACTCAAGATCCAGAGAAACATGGCCGTAATAGACAGCTGGACGCTATAGATAGGGTCGGAGTTATGGTCACTAGCTAAACATGACAAAGTCAACAGAATAGATCTACTGATGTTTTTTTTTTTTACGATCCCAAATCTTAATTTCAGCTCTCCATTAAAAAATTGCTTTCTGTCATAAGATCTTCTTTGCATCGATTGAACGTACAAATTAGGGGAGGGGAGGGGGTGTTGGTGTGTAACTTTTGCAACAAGTAACCGCGAGCTATGAGCATGTTTTTGTGGTCGATTTGTCGTGAAAATGACAGCTCGTGGCCGTGCTGAACAGGGACCGCTTTGGACAAGTTGAAATAGGATGAAAAACGCCATGTGACTGCTGTTTTGTTGTTGTTGTTGCTGTTGTTGTTGCTGTTGTTGTTGTTTTTTATGTGTTTAATTGTCACTTTTCCTATAAAACTACGACAGCTAAAGAGTTGAAAGTTGGCAAGTAACTGCGAAAAGATAGATAGGTCCCCATGACGGAGCCCGATTTTTGATTTTTTCATTTCCTGAATTTTGAAAAATATATTTGACCTTCTTTGGCCTTTGTGATTATTCCACTGAGAAACGAAACAAATCTGCGTAGATATCCTTCACAACGGAGGTGCCAGAAGTGATATTTCGCGAGGCACATGTCCTTTTGAGAGTATAGATCTAGATCTTCTAAATTTTTCATCGCTCAAGATTTATTGCTCCATTCCAGTAGAGTGTAAATAATAGTAGGCCAGTGACTTTCAGTTAATGTTAAAGCATCGATCATTCCTTTCATCGAATGGGGGCCCAGCTAGTATATATATACATGTATTGATAGATAGATAGATAGATAGATAGATAGATAGATAGATAGATAGATAGATAGATAGATAGATAGATAGATAGATAGATAGATAGATAGAT